TGTGAAACAGAATGCACTCGTGACGTTCCTTTATGAGAAAAACTTAATACACATAGAACTTTCCTTTTCGATCACTTTTGTTATATATTTTTTTCCAAACCATATCATTTTATTTTATTAAATTATTGTAATTAAACTTACAACTCATAAACGAATTTCCTGCAATCTATTCACAGACACACGTAATACTATAAGATTTTAGAGTGATTTCAACTAAAGTCCGATTAATTTAATGGATGATTAATAAGAAATATCTGTAGTATTTTGTTAACATAGATAGAATTTTTTGTTGTTTGACGCATGGAAAGGAAAAATAAAAAATTCTACTGTGAGTATTTGTGGTTAAACTAATCATCGATTATGTTAATCGGAATTTGCTTGAAACTCTTATTGTAGCAATCGGCTTCTATATTTCGCACTTTTTCTGTGCTTTAAAATACTTTTCAAGCGCATTTGTATATTCAGATCTTTTCTTGTTAATCACAAAAATTATTTGAAATATTATAAGCGAGGTCATTCAAAAATGAAACCAAGAGAACTTTTCTCATATTTCGATGATGCTTGACATTTGATTAAATAAATGCGTAACGAGATAGAGAAAAGGTGAAGAAATTTCAAATTACATTATAAAAGAATTATGTAAAATCGTGAACGTAAGTGTAAAATTTATACGATTTGGAAATAATTACATAAAAATGTATAATTTTCATATGTTTAGTTTTACTTGTTCATGTAATTTTCTTTCACATACTTTTCTTTTACAGACTAGAGAGGGCTTGGATACATTTTGCTCATTTGGAATTGCCCTTATTCTTCAGAATAAAGGGTATATTAATATTTTGAGATCAGTTTTTTTTATCTTGTATATATTTACGCGAATTTTATCGATTTATTATTGTAAATTTTAAGTAAAAGTATTTATGAATTTAAAATGAATTCGATTAAAAATATAATGTAATATTTTATAGACGAGACTGCGCCGATCTATTTGAAAATTGGGGTGGAATACGGAGTGTTTATTTTCATTCTCACATATTTTATCAATGTTCTTCGGACCAACAGATTTTTATTTGACATATGACTTGTATCCCTAAATGTTCGAGGAATAGTTACTGACACTTAAAACGCGCACAATGTAGATGCATACGTAATATGTGCCACACTGACATTCCTCATTGATTGTTGGAACCATGCAGTAACTTATCCCAATCGCAAAGTATGCCAAATAAAATTCAGCGAAGCATTTTTCCTGTAAAGCCACATCACGTATATTATTATAAAATGAATGATGTAATCTTATTACCGGGACTTGAACGTTAGCATTACTTATACCCGAGACGAAGACCGAGAAAATGAATGTTGGGTACAACAGAGTACTTTAAATGTAATAAATTTTTTGGAATTTAACGGCACACTGATTTGAAATAGTGATGGTGCTTAACCAGAATATAAATGATGCAGTTGATCCTACTGGTTACTTCTCAGGCATAAATAATGGTAACGTCTTGGCCCTGTTTATTACAAAGTACCTGGTAGATACAATCGAATTAATAGATTGAAATTTATTAAGATTTTTTGCACGAGAGAGAAGATGTGAGCATCTTAATTTTAATTTAAATTTTATAAAATGCTATATTATTAAGTGTAAAATTTATTTTACAAAGTAGAACACTAATCGTAAATTTTACGTGGCTCTAATATATTTTTCACCTTCTTATATCCTTACTAATATATATTTTATTTTATTAAAGCGATCAGCTTAATGTTATATTTAATATAAATATAGACTGTCGAATGCGTTTCGTTTATGAGTAGAGATAATTAATACGTATGTAATACGATATAACTAAGATAATGTAGAATGTAAATTATTCATATTTATCAGCGGCACGTATGTCGCAATTTATCGAAAGGAGCAATGAAATAAGTGTTTTTATTCTAGAACCCAAAACGACAATTTCAATATATAAATCTACTGAAAGACACTGAAACACTATTGTAGTCTTGTTTTACTGCTCTTGTATGAATACGTTTATTATATATTGATAAAAAAAATATAAGTAATCGCAGTAAATCGATGCTTTTATATATTTATTCGAAACTATACAGAATATTTAAATAATTAATTTCTCAATAGTTGAGTAATCCTTTTTGAAATCGAGGATTTTAAATCCCCGGTAATCAGAAACATGAGAGTGTTAGATATTATATGGTGATAGATATTATCATCTCTTTATTTCCAAATATCTGAAATTTAATACTGTTTATCATTCGTTAATGGTTGTTCGGACTGCAATTAGTAATTTGCCAGTTATAATATTACTGATAAATTCGAGGTAGCAGAATCCCTTTCCATTTTCAACCCAACAATAATCTTATTCGAAGTCCATTTTAATAATTAATATAATTTTTCGGATTACATAATACAGACGAAGTAACCATTTAAAAGATCAGATATGTACAGCATTAAAATATCTTTTTTTTTGCGTCCGACAACATTGTGTATTTGTATGTACATATTTATATAAATTGCAGTAGGACTAGTTTTGATCTTTATTCAGATCTTTCTCAGTCAACGACGATCTAATCAATTCTTCTCTTCTGATCACCTTTCCTCTTCTTCTTTTTCTTCTTTTTTTTCTACTCTCTAGTTGAGTGACAATCCGTAGGTCGTAATACCGAAATATCTTTGAACCAAAAGACCAGTGAAATTGCCTCTTTAGGGAGAAACGTTGACCTTTCAAGAATGAATTCTTCGGATGATACCGTAATGGTGATGCTGTCGTTGAAATAGGCGGAGACAAATTTCTGTTTCAGATTTTATTAATTGCAATTAGCTTTTATATTATTAAGTAAATTACGTAAAAGAAGGTTTAACGAAGTATATTTGTCTCGGAGTACGATATTCAAATGGTACAAAAGTTTTAAAGAACATCCATTTAAGACGACACGTAAAATGAGCGTCATTTTATCACAGAATAAAAAAAAATTAATACATTAGTTATGATTCGAATAATCGACAAAATATTGAACATTGATAAAGAAATCGTTCAATAAATATATATAATAATCTAAAGAAAAATATGAGAAATAAGATGTACGAGATTTGTTCGCGTCTTATCGCGCATAAAACTTTTCCAGCTTTTTGACACAGAAACAAATTCCAGTGTGGTAACATCCGTGCAGTTCATTGACTGGATTTGGTGCCGGTCGATTGCTTCTTCTTTCTCAAAATCAGATTATGCTCGAAAGAGGAGCGTTTTGAGGATATTGAAGTTATTCGTACTAATTCAGCCAATGAATTGAAAAGATTTTCGAAGAAAGTTCTAGGACTTTTTTTTTCCATCTCTAAGCACTTTGCCATCGTTCATTTTTTCGTGAAAATTATGGAACATAAAACTTTCTATTGTTTTGTTGTTTTTTAATTAAAAACCAGTTCGACAATTTTATAGTTGTACTACATAGTATGTTTCTGAACTTTGACCTTTAGTAGTATAAAGGAGATTTTTAATAAAAAATTTTTATTAAAAAAATATATAACATTTTTACGTATAAAATTTTGTTTCCAAGAGAAATGGCTTTAATAATCGAAAGTTTAATCACATTACTTTTAACTATAATCTTTTTTAACAATCTTGTGTCACATTTATTGTTGAAATTGTTCCAACGGCTATTAATATATATAATAAATGGGTAAAAGCAGATATAACATTTTATTCAATAAAATAAAATAATTTTAAATTATAAAAAAAGTTGTGTAAAACATCGAGATTACTTTTATGAGATTACTTTTAATGGAATGTTTTTTTTTCGCATCTTTTGATAGTTTCTGATGAAACAGATTTATTAATGATGTAAAATTCTTAGAAGTCATTCTAGAATTAAAAGGAAACATAAATATATTATTAGTTTTTTTCAATCTCTGAATTCATTTTCGTTGAAAATAAAGTAAAATAATGTTTTATTTCATATTTTAGATTTATTTTTTCATGAGAGAAGAGAGAGGAATCGGTCAGTCCGTAAATGCTTCGTATATGCATGCTGTCAGCATCGGTATTCAAGGCAAAGCAACTATTATAGATGTACAGAATGCGAGGAAATTATACAATTTCCGGTCACACTGGAAGGGTTTCAACCCTTCTTTGTTTTGCATCTGGTGCATCCGCGGTAAGCAACGTGTGCTTGACGTTTATTCAGTCATCCGTCGGCGTACAAGCAGTTTAAAATCCAATACGATCTGTACTGGCCAGTCGACAGATAACACGCTTTGATCTGAAGGGATGTTTCGAAATTGGTAGACGAGATAAAGTCCACGTTTGCGTGATAAAAATAAAGAAGTTAAAATGATTGCTGATATTCTAGACCCCAATAACATTGCTCTAATCTGGAGCATCTTTGAGATGGTTTCGTTTAATTAAATTATGCACGAGGACATATATTTATAACTTTAAATGCATGTATATATACAGAGAGAGGAGAAGAGACAAAGAAGAAGACTGAAGGATACGAAAATGAGAAGAGAGGCGTGGCGGTGGGCGGTAAGGGAGACTGAACGGAGGGTTAGTGATGGTGAGGGGAGAAAGATGAGAGTGGCGCGAGGAAGAGAAGGGTATAGAGGGAAGAGAGGAAGAGGGATGGATGGAGGCCAAAAATGATCGAGATTTTAGGGGAGTAAAAGCGGCACGTTTACGTTCTGCACTCCGCCTTCTTCCCTGTTCGCATCATCGGCTCTCTCTTCTCTCTTCCATCCCTAATCCTTGCCACCGCGACGATCGTGGCAGTGGTGGTGGTGGTGGTGGTGGGTGGTATGTCTTACCGCAACCTCGCCTCTATCTCCGCTCATCCTTGTCCCTCCGCCGACGAGGCGACCAATCCCCACTCCACACCCCTCTCTTAACGGGCTCTTCCCATACCACCCTTGACGGATCAATGATGATTCCAACACCCCCCGTTGTATGGCGCTAACGTCGCCTAAGCGCCGCTCAGTCCGAACTCAGGGTTCACTCAGTCCACGAACGTTTGCCACGAGACTTCGATCTCTCACACCGCATCGCACACGCTATCTCTGTCTCTCTTTCTCTCTCTCTATTCACCCGCCTCGTATCTCTTTCTCTCTCTATCTTTTTCTCCATTTTTTTCCCTTTTTTCCCGCTTGGCGGACGGAGAGCCAAACTGGTGACCGGGGAGGCGCGCGTAGTAACCGTGCATCGGTCTACGTCAACGGAAGTCTTGCCGTAGTACCCTCGTGCTTTCGGTTACTTCGACCCATATAACCGCCGTGCTGCGACCCCCGTTCGTCCGCTTCGACCGGCTGCAGATCTACCTGCGGCGCAGCGAGGTGAGTGGGCGACCTATCGCTATCGCACGTCTACCTTTACGTCGGTCTCTACCACCGAACGCGAACCTCACATTTGTCTGCTAAATTCGCGCAAATTTTCAGACACGTCTGAAGTTATGCAAAAGTTTCAAATACTTTTTATACGGCAAGTTCGCTTCCTTAATTTTTATTCCTTTTATACTTGAAAATTCTCTTTTCTTTCTGCAAATAACTAACATTCTGAGATTTACATGTTGCATTTCATTAAAATAGCTGGAAGTTTTCAATATAATAGAAAATTAAAATTACTCCGTATTCTCGATGTTGCGACAGCTTACTTATTTATTTAGATTTATTAAGATTTTCCACAGAAATTTAGACATAAATAAAATTCATTTTTTAAATGTATATAACTTCAAAAGATTCTCGATTAAACTTGCATGATTTTTCGATATTAATTAGAAATGCAATAATTATACACAAATTTTAAATAACTTTGATAAAAATTTAGTTTAGACCTGTAAAAATTTAGTTTGGATCTATACGTTACGAGAATTACGTTGCAGATTACATTAAACTTTTAACTTTGAATAGCGAGAGAAATGTTAAATGTACGTCGATTAATACAGACATAATATTATTATACTTGTAATGTTATAACACGGAAGTAATGCAGCGAGGTAGAGCTCTAAAGAACTCTTTGTGTGTGTAAGAAGGTTTTATCTTTTTTAACTATAAACCCTGCATATAAAACTAAATCAGATCTAGTCCATCCACAAAAGATCATCTCATGCTTTCAAAAAGAAAGTTATGCATTATAGATTTTATATTACTTTTTGTATAAGCCGCTTGACGAGAACCGGTTTATCTGACTTCCGATGACGATGAGAAGATATTGTGATATCTGTACTTAGTAATAACGATAACCTGTACAATTTCAAATCTATAAATGAGAATTTATTTCTGCAAGAAAATAGTAACGAACAATATATTGATTATTGTTATTACCCATAATAGTAAATTGAGTAAATTTAATAATAAATTGAAAATATATGATTATTGCGAAGCTAATACATTAATTTCTTCGAAAGATTCACAGAACGTTATTGACTAATCTGCTTTTATAGCGCGCGAAATTATTTTTTTTATATCGATAATACAAATGAGATTTATTTTACTGTATATTCTGCAAAGTTTCAATGAATATTGATTAAATATCTGTTCTGCAGCGAAACCGGTATATAAAAAAAATTTAATTCACACACACTGGAATTCTTGTTCCTGTGGTTTGCCTCATAAGGTGCTGTCACCTATTGGCAGGGACGTCCACTTAAATAAATATCCACTAATATATCCAACATAAATCCTATTTGAGCAGTTTTTGTACAACAGATTATTTTAGTACGTTGAGAAAAAAGGGGAGGAACTTTAATACAACATTATAATATATCTTTCCAAAAATTGTCAAAAGAAAACGTTCTTGACATTTTAAATCGTTTTATCTCTCACTGAGACAGAAAAGTTATAAAATAAAAAATTAAAGTGAGATTTTATTTCTTTTTAAAAATACAATTAATTACGAAGAGCATCTATTATTTACATTTTGATATTTTTCTAATTTTTAGACATTTCTAAATTCAATCTAAAGAACATATAGTTTAAATTTTCGAAAAGAAAATCTTCCATTACGAAAGATCACGTGATTGTCTTCATTGATGTATTTCATACTGTGGCAGTTTCTTATGATGTTCCTTCCAGCTTATCCTCTGCTGAATTATATTGTAGAATGTATACCGAATTATATATTATACTGCTTACGTTGTCAACATGCAACTACTCGAAGCCATGGCTGGGTGAAAGAGGCATCATGTAGTTATACGTAAACATAGCGGCTTTGTGCGCCGGTAAGAACGCGCAGCAAAGTCCCCGACGAAAATTCGCTCCCGCGAGGATTCTGCTCATCTCAGAATTCCTCGTCGGCGAAACTTTATTCACTAACCGAATAACTGCTACGACCAGGGTCGATCAATAGCGAAACCGTTTCGGTAAACAGCGAAAAATTCCGTATTTCTGTATTGAGAGAGCGACTGTGTCTCGCCGGTACGGAAACTGGCTTTTTAGTTTCCTTGCATACAAGATCCGCTCAAGTGAAACTTTGATACGCTTGTCGTATGCAGAACGTTGTACTTAAAATGCTTGCTTATTTCTCATAGCATACATTTTTTAATCGATTTTATCGAATATATTTTCTTAATAAAAATTTGCTGAAACGCTAGATTCGCAAGGTATCAGTCATGGAAGTGATTATGACAATCATATACTTAGTATTTTGTACCGATAAAAGAAACTTTATCGCGCTGTACGCTGACTTTGTAAAAATTACTGTCCTTTATGTGTTTTGTGGCTGGCGAGATGTGAAATTCTATGAGAAAAACTCGTAGATGCATTGTTAAGTACGTAAAATGGGTATGTACGCGTGCATGTTGATGAGTGCATACGGAGGCAAGTAAATCTCGCGGTTCGCTCGTAGACTGCTAAATTACTACTCGGATTAATCTGCGTATCAACTGATTGTGTACATTGACAAGCACTATTATGGAGAGATGTAACGTTCCATAAAGACGCGTATCCATTATTTGTATTTTCGAAGGAAGTAATGATAATTTCGTCGAGGAATGAAAAAACGGCAGAAAAGCAAAACGCGAAATGTATAGAAAGAACTTCTTTGTATTCGTAAGAATGGGCACGTGTTTAATTTTTGTTTCGCACGGAATGCTCGGTTATGTAATTCTACAAAGAGCAGAATTTATGGAAAAATCTAATTCTGCTGAAACGTTTATTTTAAAAAGATGTGGTTTGTGAATTTTCTAAGCTACAACGTACAGCTTGAACAAAAATGACGATTCTTTTTTAAAAAAGGTAACTGATTATTTTATATAATCAATGAAAACTGCTTCAGAAAGTAAAATTGTAAATAATTAACAATTATATGATATATTAAACAGAAAATATTTCTTACAACTTTCAAGCTTATTTATCAAAGATTTTTCTAAACCTATCGGCTTATTGATTAATCAGGTCGTAATTATAGGAGTTGTATAGTAAGGTAATAAAATTTAAATATTTTTAACATATTTCATACGTTATACAATACAGTAATTACTGGTTATTCCATATGGTACACGATGCTGTTGTGTATGACAAGGATTTAAATATATAAATTTTATATTAAATATATAATTTATTTTTAAACATGTCCCACTGTCGTCTACGTCCTAGATTTTTTGCGGAGAAGAGAAATGTCTCGCGTGAATCCCTGGATCGTGCTGGTCTTCCTGAAATGTCATCCTACTGGCCGCTTTCAAGCTATTTCCCCGTTTTTGCACATTAAGGGCCATAACGTGCGAGAAAGAGAGAATTAGAGAAATGGAGAAGTAGAGATGGATGAAGATTATGTCCACACGATTCATTCGGCCATGTGATTTATTACAGTCATGTATTTTTTTTTTTACGTGATCAATCCTAATCTCGTAATCAATCAGCAATTCGAAAAGTCACGGGGTTCGGCAAGAGTTGATATTGCGATAGCCTAGAAGTCGATCTTCAGAGAGAAACTAAAACGAGCGGCAAGTCGCCTTACCCCTCCGCGTCATATAGGTATGTTGCAGAATTCTCCTACCCCTCTCCTATATTCCCTGAGGTATTTCATTTCAATGCTTCGTATACGCACCGGTTTGCTGGCGAAATTGGACCAAGAATGAGAGGCAACCCTTTAGTGCTAGAATTCGCAAAAACGTCTCTTCTCAGTACGTTTCTTGAGGATTAAATCTTCTTTCGTCCAATAATGACTCTATTAATTGCAACATATAGAAGTTTCTGCGCGTACAAAACTTTTTCGAAGAACTTCAAACAATATTAGTATCTCTAACAATAGGCACTACTTTAATCACATAAAGGTATTAATTACTACAATATATGTTTTGAAATAAATTCGTTTTAAATGTACACCTAGAAATTGGTACAAACGCAGTTTGAGAAAGTTGAAATAATTATATGCACTCACAGAAATAAGGATAATCTTATAATAAAGCAATATTTCTTATATTTGCTAATTACAATGCATATATACATATATTATAATTATAATATATGAATTTTGCGACGATTAGTAATAGCATAATTAATTAACATTTGACATCTCTATTGCAAACTCATGATCATTACGTATGTAACACGTTTGTTCACAAGGTTATAATTTCACAAAGAGTAATGATACTCGGATAAATCCCACGTGTCGCACTAAATAGCCTATTAACAATAAATGGATATATCCTTTAGACAGCGCATCATTTTAATGGAATCATGCGACGTTAATTAATATTCTACTCCTGCTAAAATCTGCTCCTCCGAAGGCTGCTCGCGTATCTATCAGCAAATTGTATTTCAGCATCTATTAGCGATGCCCTGCAACATCGTACAGCCGACTCAACACTAGTATCCGTATTAATACGACGAAAAGCGAGACGAGTGTATGTGAAAAGTAACAAAGGATCGCTGGCAAGCAGAAAATGTAGTTACTAACTATAGCAAGAGCGATTTAATGCTCTTGACGTATCGCAGTAAATTAAGTACAGCGATGTCCATAAAACTGATAATACTTCTGTGAAGTAACTTAAGGAGCATCTCAAAAAGGAAGAATCATTATGAAGAAAATTAGAGAATTTATTATGAGAGAGGAAGAAAGTATATTTTTAATTTAAATCGAATTAATTTTCTACGTGCTGGGGAATTGTCTAGCTATAATAATTTAGATATCCTCTATCCTTTATATTCTCAGAATTACGATCTTAGAAGGGAAGGTGATTGACTATTTCGCAATATGTTATTGAAATTCATTTCTTATTTCAATCGCGATCTTTTTGTTTATTAATATATTGTGCCATGTCCACTCTTCGATTATTATTGTACAGTAGAACGAGAAGGAAGAGCAAGGATACGTTTGAACAGAAAGGAATTTCAAA